ATGATTCTTGTGATTAATATGCTTTGAACGTTGTTGGTTAAGTCTCGCGATATAATGGTGTAAATAAATGGCAACAAACCAAGTGTGTGTGTGTGTTCATGTGTTCATGTGGTAAGAACTGTGTAACGAATGATGGAAAGAAATCATAATTGATGCAATTGAAACAACTGTGGTAATATCATACGTGACTTGTCGCGGGCAACTATCGTTGTGACTTAAATTGTATACGGGTTGTTGCATATGATGGAAATGGTATTGATGTTATGAAAGTTCTTTGTGAATTATTCTTGTTGTCGTGTGAAATTTGATTGTTCGGTGGGATCGGGTTGCGCGCCGCAACACGAAGTTATAAGGTGTGGGTCGTGGTGATAAGGGTGGCCGAGGTAATAAGGGTGTAAAAGTGATCGAAATCACTATTGAAATGAAAATATGTGAAAGTTGCGAAACCATTGATGTGATGAAATAATGTTGAAAGGGGAAAAGGAGAGATTGTGGAACTTGTTTGGCTTTGGTTGTTCCTTTCATGTGCATTGGATTGTTGATTCTATTACTGTTTGTTACCTGTGTATTTCTTGATTTTACTTGGGGTAAAGTTTGTTCATACATACCAGTACAATTCAAATGTACTGACGTCCCTTTTGCCGGGGGCGCTACATTCGTGTTATGATTGTAGGTGGTTCTATAGCAGGTACTCCAGTCCACCAACAGTAGCACTCCTTCACTTTCCGTCAGCTGTATTGGTGAGCCCCTTTTTCCTCTCGGGGCCCTGCATGGCTCATGCCGCTTTTCCTCCCGGGAATCTTATTTTGGTATTTGCATAAGGTATAGCCGGAGCCTTGTTGCCGGCATTTCCGTATTATTCTTCAGTACTTAGAGGCTCCGTAGACAGGTCGTCGGTAGTGTCGGGTATTGACATTTAGAATAAAGATATTGATGTTTGGCAATGAGGTATAAAACTTGTAATACCTGTAAAATGGCGAATGCGGTTGATAATGGAAATCGTTAATAATATGTTTATAGAATTTGATTAATGGAGTCCATCTCCTATTTATTCATGAGTTGGTTCGGGTAGAATGAGACCTAACAGGCTTTCCCGGTCGGGTTACTCGGTTGAGCGTCGGTCGTGCTCCTCGGGTTTTGGGGCGTGACAATAATATGTCCCAAGAAGACATAACTAGTTAATCAATCTTGTTTTGGACCCCTGTTAAACACGAAGATGGTCATGTCATAGCTATCTAATGATCTTCACTTCAGTTAAACGCTAAAATCTCAACCCTAAGATTGAGAAAATACTATCTATGTTCATTTATAAGTAGCTTATTACAAAAAATTGTCCAATTCATAAAATATTATTAATATTAGAAAATTAGCTATTTATAGAAAAAAAGATCAAATTTTTGCTTTCTTTTGAATGAGTATTATTAGAATAGATTGGGTACATCTTAAGGAGATTGAATCTCTATTTTGAGATGATTTGGTTGAGTTTTGTGGTGGTTTGAAATGAAAATTTGAAGTAGAAGATATGAAAAAAAATAATAGGTGTATCACATATGTATCATATTTGTATCAAATATGTATCACATGTATATCCATGTATACATGCATGTGAGATACATGCGTGATACGTGTTTGATACATGTGTCGTTGAAGAATTTATTAAACTCGATTTTTTAACTGCGAATTTTGAACCCAAATCAGTCCAAATCACCTCCAATCTCCTCAAATTTTGTAAATTAACTTATCTATATGTTTTCAATGAATCTCAACATACTCATTGAAAAAAGTCCATTTTTCTTAGATTTTTGGGATGTTTTGTGTGTGTGCGCGCGTATATATATATATATATTTCGTCACCTTATTTTCTACCTCATCCATGAAAATTTCTTTCCGTCTTGTATCTAGTGTTGCTAATCACGCTTAAAAATATGGAAGAAGATCTTTATGTGTAATTCTTGGAGAGAAAGAACCTTATTTCTTTGAGTTTTCAATTTTTATATGTGTTTGGCTAATTTTGGTAAGTCTGTGATTAATGGCTAGAGGTTGGTAAGTTGGGATTATTTTGGGACATTTCTGTAAGATTCCCTATAAGATTATGTTAATATTGTTGTTATATGAAATAACTCTCCCACATAAGAGCAATGTAACAACCTAGCCTACTAGTGAAATTGTTCGCTTTGGACCTAGGCTCGCACGACTTTGGAAAGCGTCGCTAGGGTCTAAGGTTTGTTTACTTATATACTCATCATCTCTCCCGTGTTTTGTCGATGTAGGATTTGTCTAGGATGTCACATATACCCCTTTAGGGGACTCAGCATCCTCGCAGAAGTTTGCCCCACCACCGTTCAAGATTGCACGCGGAGTGGCTCTGATACCATATGTAATAGCCCAGTCCACTAGTGACATTGTCCGCTTTAGACCTAGGCCCGCACGGATATCAGTAGTAGGTTGGTGTGACACCCTAGGCAACTCTTATCGAAAAAACACAAGAGAGATGCTGTGTACGTAAGTAAACACCCCTGAAATGTATTGCTCAAAAAGCTACGTTACAAGACAAATCCTTATCGGTTTTTCCGCAACTTAAATATGATTTTTCCAAACCTTATATTTTATATCCAAACATCATATATAATCATATTATGACTTTACATTTATTTAAATCATGATTAACAAGTCTCATATAATGTATATGTTACCTTGAACACAGAGGTTGTAACACATCAAAATGTGTCTAGTTGGAACACTTTTGGCAAAGTTTAGGTACTAGCTGAGTTAAGTGTCTCAATAAAAATATGGGATTAAGTTTAAGGGTCCACATTTGTATTTGGCCAAATGAAAAAGCAAAATCAAATTCAGGACATTTCTCAGGACGTCGTTTCTTCATATGGTTTCTTCAATTTTCAAGAGTTTCTGGTTTCTTGTTCAGCACTCTTTGAGCTAAAAATTTCAGAAGTAAATTGTTCAGTAAATTATTCAGCTTTTCACCGACTCTCGGATTCCGGTAATGAGCGAAGGAGAGGACGCGGTGCGACGCCGCAACGCGGTGGCAGAATACCGGAGAAAGCTTCTCCAGCACAAAGAACTCGAATCCAGAATCCGAACCGGTCCGTCTTTCCTCCAATCCCCAATTTCTATACCCTAATTCAATCCTATGTGCCAAAATTATTTTTTTGTTTCTTCTCGAATTTATGAAATTAATGTAGTCAGGGAGAATTTAAGAGCATCAAAGAAAGAATACAACAAAACAGAGGATGATTTGAAGTCGCTTCAGAGCGTTGGACAGATTATCGGCGAAGTTCTTCGCCCTCTCGACCATGAACGAAGTAACTTACTATCTTTCTACAAGCTTCTTCTTATTATTACTATTAACTTTCAGATTTTTCAATAAAACCTATTGATGAATTATGATAAATTCATATAGCTGATCTCGACTATCTTAAGATTAAGATGTGGTTGATTGGTTGATTTATAATAGTTTTGATGCATTCACTCATTGCCTTTCCTTATTGGTGAAAATTGAATTTTGAATATTCAGGTGTTGCTGAATAGTTAAAGTATCAAGATAAGAATACCCAAGCTTTCTGAATAGTTAAATAATGTTTCAACTTTGGGTATTTCTAGTTTGTGCAGATCAAGTGGGCGTTTGGACATAAGAATTGTAAAATTCCAAAAAAAGTGAAAAAAAATTTCAAGTAAAAATGGTATTTGAAAATTAGAGTTGTGTTTGGACATGAATATTATTTTAGGTCGTTTTTGAAGTTTTGTGAGTGAAAATTTTGAAGAACAGCTTTTTGGAGTTTTTCAAATTTTCGAAAAATTTCAAATTTTATTTACAAGTAAAAATTGAAAATTATATGGCCAAATATTAATTTTAAAAACTTTTTTTTATGTCCAAACGGGCTCTTGTGTGTATTTTAGTTCAAGTTTCAATCCATTAGATGGTTGCTTTCATTTCTTGCTGCTTTAAATAGTAAATGACCATCCTATCAATCAGTCAATCAACTTTGCAACAACAACAACAACAACGGCCCAGTGTAATCCCACAAGTAGGGTCTGGGGAGGGTAATATGTACGCAGACCTTACCCCTACCTCGAGAGGCAAATAGACTGTTTCCAGGAGACCTTCGGCTCAAGAAGGCCACAAGAGATGATATATTAGTACCATCAATAGAATCATAATAAAATGACAGCAATATAAGAAATACGAAATAGATGGAAAGTACGATAATAACCAGCAGATAAAGCCCTGCATCAGTAGATGACCACTAGCATCCTAATACTAACTCCTAACTGGCTAATCTCACCCTGGTGCGCCGTAGAAATATTCACAACTTCCCCCTAACCTACAACCTTAATGCTCGATCTCCACAATTCCCTGTCAAGCGCCATTTCCTCATTAATCCTAAGTCGCGCCATGTCCTGCCTGATCACCTCTCCCCAATACTTCTTAGGTCGCCCTCTACCTCTCCTCGTGCCCACCACAGCCAGTCGCTCACACCTCCTCACCGGTGCATCAGTGTTCCTCCTCTGAATGTGCCCGAACCATCTGAGTTTTGCTTCTCGCATCTTGTCCTCCATGGAGGCCACGCCCACCTTCTCTCGAATATTTTCATTCCTAATCTTATCCATCCTTGTATGCCCGCACATCCACCTCAACATCCTCATCTCTGCTACTTTCATCTTCTGGATGTGTGAGTTCTTAACCGGCCAACACTCGGTCCCATACAACATGGTAGGCCTAACCACTGCTCTATAAAATTTACCTTTTAGTAACGGTGGTACTTTCTTGTCACACAGGACTCCCGACGCTAACCTCCACTTCATCCACCTCACCCCTATACGGTCTGTGACATCCTCGTCGATCTCCCCGATCCCCTGAATAACTGACCCAAGGTATTTGAAACTACCCCTCTTGGGAATGACTTGAGAATCAAGCCTCACGTCCACTCCCGCTTCCGTCGGCTCGACCCCAAATTTGCAATCGAGGTATTCTGTCTTCGTCCTGGTCAACTGAAACCTTTAGACTCAAGGGCATGTCTCCAAACCTCCAACCTCTTATTGACGCCGCCTCGTGTCTCGTCAATCAGAACTATGTCATCAGCAAATAGCATGTACCATGGCACCTCCCCTTGAATATGATGAGTGAGTACATCTATCACCAGGGCAAATAGGAATGGGCTGAATGCAGACCCTTGGTGCAACCCCGTAACAACCGGAAAATGCTCGGAGTCGCCTCCTACTGTCCTAACCCGAGTCTTAGCTCCATCATACATGTCTTTAATCACCCTAATGTAGGCAACCAGAACCCCTTTAGCCTCCAAGCAGCTCCATAGGACCTCCCTAGGAACTCTGTCGTACGCTTTCTCCAAATCAATAAACACCATGTGGAGATCCTTCTTCCTATCCCTGTATTGTTCTACCATCCTCCTAATAAAGTGGATAGCTTCTGTGGTAGAACGCCCCGGCATGAACCCGAACTGGTTGTCTGAAATAGACGCCGTCCTTCGCACTCTCATTTCTACCACTCTCTCCCAAACTTTCATAGTATGTCTCCGTAATTTGATACCCCTATAGTTGTTACAGCTCTGGATATCGCCTTTGTTCTTGTACAACGGAACCATTGCACTCCACCTCCACTCTTCAGGCATCCTATTAGTCTTGAATATAACATTAAACAGCCCAGTAAGCCATTCCAAGCCTGCTCTACCTACACACCTCCAAAGTTCAACCGGAATTTCGTCTGGCCCGGTAGCTCTGCCCCTTCTCATCTTATGCATCGCCTCCATGACCTCCTCGACCTCGATGTCCCTACAATAACTTAATTCATGGGGATTGTCCGTATTCCTCAATTCACCTAGTACAATATCCTGATCCCCTTCTTCATTTAGAAGTTTATGAAAGTAGGTCTGCCACCTCCTCTTAATCTCGTCATCCCCCATCAAAACTTTGCCGTCATTATCTTTTATGCACGCCACTTGGTCCAGATCCCGAGCCCTCCTCTCTCTCACCTTAGCCAGTCGGAATAACTTCTTCTCCCCGCCTTTGCTCCCCAGTTCCTCATACAGACGAGCAAAAACTGCAGTCTTAGCCTCCGTGACTGCCATCTTCGCCTCCTTTCTAGCTACCTTATACCTCTCACTGTTCGCTCTCATCTCCTCCTCGCAAGTGCTCCCTACTAACCGCAGGTAAGCCGCCTTCTTTGCTTCCATTTTACCTTGGACAACTGCATTCCACCACCAATCTCCTTTGTGGCCACCGGTGCGGCCCGAAGATATCCCTAACACCTCTCTCGCCGCCTTCCTTATACAGTTCGTCGTTGTCGATCACATAGTGTTTGCGTCCCCACTACTTCTCCAAGCTCCCATTGCCGATAACCTTCCTTCCAACTCCTGAGCTTTATCCTTAGTCAAGGCGCCCTACCTAATCCTCGTACGGCCTCGTACTTACCTCTTCTTCCTCCTTATCATAATACCAATGTCCATCACCAAAAGCCTATGTTGCGTTGCGAGGGTTTCACCAGGGATAACCTTGCAATCCTCGCACAACCTTCTGTCGCATCTCCTGAGGAGGAGATAGTCAATCTGAGTCTTCGTCACCGAACTTTGGTAAGTAACCAAATGCTTCTCCCGCTTCGGGAAACTTGAGTTCGCAATCACTAGATCGAATGCCTTGGCGAAGTCCAACAGCGAAGTGCCCCCTCCGTTCCGCTCCCCGAAACCGAAGCCGCCATGCACCTCAGTATAACCACCTGCAGACGACCCAATATGACCATTGAAATCTCCTCCTATGAATAACCTCTCGGAAGGCGGAATACTACGAACGATCTCATCCAACCCCTCCCAAAAGCGTCTTTTAATCTCCTCATCCAAGCCTGCTTGCGGTGCGTACGCGCTAACGACATTTAAAGTACACTCACCCACCACCAACTTAATAGTCATTAATCTATCATTCACCCACTTGACCTCTGCCACCGACTCTCTAAGATGGCTATCTACTAGGATACCTACTCCATTCTTACCCCTCAGGACTCCAAAGTACCACAACTTATACCCATCCGCGTTTTTCGCCCTCGATCCGACCCACCTAGTCTCCTGGACACACACTATATTAATCTTCCTCCTCTGAAGGATCTTCGCCAACTCTATAGACTTACTCGTTAGTGAACCTATGTTCCATGACCTGATTCTCAACCTATAGGCTCCCTTGCCCCCGCTACCTCCCTGCCTCCCGTTCCACCCCCTGGCCCCCGCCCCGCACTCTGCCCCACCCGAGGACATGCCCTTATTCTATTATCCCAGACTACAACCACTACACCTACGACAATCTAAAGAAGACTCGCTAGTGCACAACGGACAACGAACCAAACTAGAAGGAAACAAGTGACTACTAGCACACTAGTTGAATGATCGAACTATTGCGAACTAAAGTAACATCAATTTAAATAACACCAAAAGGGAAACAGTAAAACGGGAGGTACCAACTCTCGAGAACAAAACCTGTGCTTGATTTGTTGTATTCGATGTAGTTGTACGCTCACGCACAGCTTCCCACAGCCCTTTGCTGACACTCGCCCAGGCTGCTCTCCTTTGCTAGTGCTCGTGCGCCCAACTTGTCTCCAACAACTTCGAGAATTTCCCTTCTAAAACACAAAAAATACCACGACCCAAAAACCAAAAAGGGGCTGTCACCGCTACCTCTGGTGTAGCCCCGACAATAGCAGAGGAAATGGAGGGAAAAAGCAGAGAACTACACAACACACAAATTAATTTAATTTCCAACACCAAATTAACAAAATATTTCACAACTGATTCACCAATTTACAGAAAACAATATTACCTTTAATACAATATTCACAGATCACTCTAAAAACTACACAACACACAAATTAATTTCAAAAGCAACTAGCAGACAACAATATCAAAATCGAACAGAGAGACTAAGATACTAACATCAGGATTTTACAGATTGTAGAGCAAAAGAAAGGGAGGAGAACAATATCAAAATCGAAACAAGCACAATCTGATCAATTATTTAAAAAATAGTAAAAGTATGCATCTAACAAGCACAAATACAATCTGATCAAGAAAATCAATCTAATGGACCTGACATAGCTTCCGACGATTAGCAAAATCAAGCCAAAATTTTGATTGCGCAGTAGATCAGTGAATCTAAAGAGCTCGATAAAAATCACTGTAAACTCAATTAAAAACTTGATGAACCAGTAGATCGAAGAATCAAAAGAGCCTCACAAAATCACTGTAAAGTCAGAACTCTACCAACAAAATCGACAAGAAAAAAAGAAGAAAAGCCGCTATTACTCAGTAGGTGGGAGAAGAAATAAAGCTGTCTCGCACGCTAGATAAAAGAATTTATTTATGCTTGAAAT